TGCATACCTACTGCGTTAATTTTTTTGATCCTGGTTTTAGTTTTTTTTGATCTTTGTGGTTTAATTTTTTTTGATCCTGATTTAATTTTTTTTTGATCCCTCACCCCACGCTGCCCCGGTACCATCTCAGACGTGCTGATGATGCAAAGGTTCGACCCATCTCACCGGTGATCTTCGCAGGGCGTTCTGGACGATGCAAGCAGATGCAGGCAGCTCCCAACTAGGAGTATTTCGTTAAGCAAGGCACAAGGCTGCCGTCAGACGTTGAGGCTTTGCTGTGTGTGCGTGCGCGTGCAGGAGTGATAGAAAGAGACACAGAGAAGGCGAGAGAGAGAGGGAGCCATCCGGCGCGGGGAGCCTAACCTGCTCCCATCTGCTCCCTGAACCCCGGAGAAAAAAAAAGCAAGCAAGACAAATAGAGAGAGACAGAGAGAGAAAATCATCTACTCTGCCGTATGGCTCCTCCTCCTGTGGGATCTTAAGTGTTGTTGAACGTCTCCCATAAGGCCCGACAACAGGGCTGAGCCATTCGGCTGGGGCTCGGGGGACGTTACTCGTCCCCTTCGTTCCGGAGAACAGAACAGAGGGAGAGGAAGAGGGGAGAGAGAGAGAGAGCGAGGTAGAGCATGCGCCAGCAATCTTTCGCCTCTCACGCAGGATGCTTGACAAATGGCTCCAAAATGACGATCCGGCGAACTGCTGAAACCCTTCGACCTTGCAACCGTGTCACAGGTCTGTTGCAGCGTTGCACGTGGAGTGTGTAGCTAGTTAGTTCCCTGGAGCTTGCTCTGGATATGCTTGATGTTGCAATGTTGCCTTGACCACAATTTCTCCGGCTTTGCACGCAGTTGCTGCGAATGTTCTTCAGAACTTACTTAGCAGGGTGGAGCTCCATCTTCGTTGCAACTTTGCAGCGAGATCCATATTTAACAACTTGCCGGAGATCCACCCTTACCAAAGGTTCGTGAACCTGAAAAGCCCTTGCTCTCCGTGACGGAGCCACAACAGGCGTAAGAGACTGGCAGCGGCTGATCGGATTAGCGGGGCTCGAAGTATTACCAACTCCTAGTACTTTGTTTGCTCTGGAAGCAGATAGGCAGAGTACAGGCCTTGTGCATCAGCCACGCCGATCGATCTCCCAATTCTAGGACGAGTGTTTCTTTCGATGCGGGGAGTCAAAAACCTGTTGCGTTTGAAGGCTGCCAACTTTGAGCAAACTCAGACTTGCATTCAGCCGTGGCTGCAGAGATGCTGCGCAAGACGCTGCCTGCGCGACATGTTAATGTGTTAAACTGTTAAACTGTGTTCTTGATGCTCAGGGCCATGTCTGCCATAGCTAGATTGTAGAAATGTGCAGACTCAGACGATTGTCGACTGTCTTACACGTGGTCCATGTTGCATATCCTTGATATGTCTTGATTTGCCGCAGTCTGGACCTGCGTGGCTGTTGCTGCAATGTGCTTGGCTGGAGAAGGATGTGAGACATTTGGGGGGGTGAGATTTCGCCCCCCCCCCCCCCACCCCCCTCCCTGCCGTTCGGGCGAAGACCGCCCTCGCCATCGACGCCATGGAGCGTGGTGAGCGGGGTAAGGGGCGAGGTGCTCGCGGAAGTGGGAGGGGCGGCTCAAAGAGCTCCGGCGACGGGAGCTGGACATGGGGCGCCGTCAGTGCCCTCTCCCGAGGAGGGAACTGGCGCACTCGAGGCCGAGGCCGAGGTCGAGGCGGCCCCTCGATTGCACCGAACGTTGCACGGACATGCTGTGAAAGCAGCCTTGTGGAGTCCTGTAGCGTGCGCCTTGAGGCTCTACCTCTGCCCACTGGGGCCACGACACCAGGCACGTCCTGAAATCTGATTCCGCGCCTTTGCAGCAAAGGCATTGAGAAAAGCGTCTCTGCCACGTCTGGAGTCTCGAGTTTATAAGTTCAGATGGAGGAATAGATAGGTGCGCACGTCCTGGTAGTAGTAGTGGTTGTTGTTGGTGGTGGTGG